TTTAGTGGGTTTGGTTTGGTGTTTTGTTTTTTTTTTTTCTTTTGGTTTTGTTGATTGTTTCCTTCACTGCTCTTTATATTGATGAAATCCCAATAATTCATTTTTGCTTTTGTTTCCCTTGCCTCCAGAGACATGTCTAGTAGGAAGTTGCTGTGGTCCAGGTCAAAGAGGTTTCTGCTTGTGTTGTCCTCTAGGATTTTGATGGATTCCTGTCTCACATTTAGATCTTTCATCTGTTTTGGATTTATTTTGTGTACGGTGTAAGAAAATGGTCCAGTTTCATTCTTCTGCATGTTGCTGTCCAGTTTTCCCAACTTGAGTGTGTTATACTTTTGTAAATTTAAAAGACACACTACTGAGATGATTATAGTATTTGTTTCTGCACCTATTAAATCAAAATGAAAAAAAAAATTGAAGGACAAAGAACTGAAATTCAACAGAATAATAGGGAAAAGGCATTAAAAGACAAAATATGTAAGATCTACATAAAATCCTTGTAGCCTTTAAACATATGGAAAATATTCATACTCCATAACTAGAGAAATACAAATGAAAACACCACAGTGATACAATTTCCCACCTATCAGACTAGCAAAACATTACAATGTAAAATGACACATTCTTTGGCCAGGCTGTGGGGAAACAAGCCCCACATAAACTGCTGGTGGAATGCAGATCAGCATAGCCCTTCAAGAGGGGAATTTGACAAACTTAACTAAACTACATATGCACTTAACGTTTCTTTGACTCAATTCTAGGAATCTACCCTGAAGACATACCTCTAGCAATTTGACATACGTATGCCCTGAGGTATTCGTTGGGGCATTTTTTCTGATTGCAAAATATTAGAATAACCTAAACACCCTTACAGTGTGGAGAGGTTGCAAAGCCACACCCTGGAGCCTTGAGCAGCCCTAGAGCAGAATGAGGAGACACCATGAATGAATGCCAAAAGATTTCCAAAATGTACTGTGAAGAGAAAAGCAAAGTTGTGGAAAGCTATCTACAATAAGCTACCCTGTGCTGGCTGTTCTTAACTTGTTGATGTCTCAAAGCCAAGATGACTAGACAGAGTGACCGGGACAACAATCAGGTCCAAGAGAGGTCTCAGTCCCACAGGAGGTCCTTTGCTGGAGGGGACTGTTCCTCACCAAAGTGTAGACAGGCTCCTTCTAGAAGGAAGTCCTGGATGGTAGGCCCTCAGGCTGAATACAATCCTCTGCAGCTCAGCCTGGACCTTTTCCAAGCTCCCTAGGGTGCTTGGGTCTCAAAAATGGTGAGAGTGAGGGGAACAGAGAGAGAGGATGGGGAGAAGTTGGGGAACAGAGAATCCTTTTGCCAAGAAGGTCCCTGACCCTCAGGAAGAAAATAAATAAGTAAACAAGCAAACAAATAAAAACTTGGTTCATCCAGGCAAAAATCGACTAATTTACAGAGAAACAACAGAAATTATTCAATGTAAGAAGTGAAAAAAGAAAAACTTTAGTTTCTATACTGTGTACAGTTCATAAGGGAAGAGAAAATGGAAGTAGATCAGCTGAGCTTGGGGAACACAAATGAGGCAGTAAACTCCAAAGAGAAAAGTGAGATGAAGAGCTGAGTCCACCTCAAGCTGACATGAAAACTAAGTACCCTAATGCAGGAGCACTGGGATGCCAAGCCCCTCCCTCAGTTGAGGAAGAAGCTTGGCCATCTCCAGCCCCCCACCCAGGTTACTGTGCTTACTTGAGACCCCAAGTACTCCCAAGTTCTATATTACCCACTACGTATCTGCCTTGAAACCTGCAGAGGATAATGCCTGAGCCCAAGTCCTCCTTGTGACTACAAGGTTCTGAAGGGACACAGACAGGGAGGAATCTGAGGGCTCCTGAAGCCAGGGAAGCCAACTCACTCAAAGACCCAGCTGCTCACACAGAGGGGCAAACACACTCCTTGGCTCTTCCTCCATTTCGTAGTCAGGGAGAATGGGATCTGATCCTAGAACATACATGTGTGCTAAGGTACCTGACCTCTGCAAGTTTTCCTCACGGGGACAACCAGGTACTACCTACCTCCTTGAGAATAAAGTGTGGCACAGAGCCAGCTGTTCAGAGGGAGCATTAACTTCTATATCATCACCACTGTTACCATAATTGTTAGTTCTGCTATTGGGTTAACTCCAAATCACACAGAGGGGGCCTGGGTCTGGATCTGCACATGTGCCTGAAGGGCATGGCTCATTGATGTGTCTTAGGGGTCCTCAACCCCCTGATTCAGCCTCCTTATCTTTCTCCCTCACAGATTCTTCCTAGTTTTCTCACCCACCTTCTGGTTTAGCTTTCTCATGAGCCCTCCGTCCAGGCAGCATCCCCAATAAGGGGTCAGAACCCACCTCCTGCTTAAGGGTTGATGTTCAAGGGGCATGGAAGCCCCCCACACTTTATACTGCTTTAAAACCCACTTTTGGGTCACCTGGGTGGCTCAGTCAGTTAAGCGTTCAACTCAGATCATGATCTCAGGGTCATGAGATCGAGCCCCACATCAGGCTCCACTCTCAGAGAGGAGTCTGCTTGAGAATTCCTCTCTCTCTCTTCCTCTACCCCTCCCCCCTTTTGCATGCGCTCTTTCTCACTAAAATCGATCAAGTAAGGAAGAATTGGCAGCAAAGGGCCTTATCTCAGTGGGAAGCCCAAGACCTGGTACCAGAGGACAAGAGTCTGGAATTAAGCATGGACAACTAGGGGAACTAAGGTAGACATTAAGCACAAATGGTGCTTAGTCCTCTTCCTTACTCTGGGTGAGGAGTCAGGAGCCATCAGTGCAAATAGAAGTGCATTTCTAGGATATGAATTACTCTTGATTATAGCAGGATAACAGAGCATCTGCCTGGGCAGGTCTCCACTACTTCTCTGTTTAAACTTCCTCCTTGTCCTATCATTCAGCTGTCTTTCCACCTGCACCCTGCAGTCTGGGAGAGCATCCCAGAATGGAAACCTAACCCCACTCCCCCAGAATGGAAACCTAACCCCACTCCTACTCATATGCTCATGCTGCAGCTCTGCTCATCTCTCAGTCTAAAGCCAGAGTCCTTGCAACATGCAGAGACCTCCCGGGATCTGGCCCTGCTCACCCTCCAACTGCCATCCCAGTTCTCAGTATCCTGGTTTCCATTCCTATGTGACTCTTTGCAGTTGACCAAAATTACCACTGCTTCCTCACATCAATGCTGAGCTTGGGGGATTCCAGGAGGCTTTAGGAACAGATCAGCTCCGGTGATGCTCCTGGCTGACTGGAGTAGACAGCCATGTGGGGGTGCAGATGAGCCTTGGTATGGTCTATAGGGTCATGATGGCACGAGCCATGAAGTGTATAGGGAGGGGTGAGATGAGAGAGGGAATCCTGGGACATGAAAGCAGTGAGATCAGCATGGTTTGAGGGGAGTGGGCCAGGTATGTGCCTTCCACATTGTTCCCCTCTCCCTGAAGCATGTGGGGAGCCACTTTCAAACTGGAGTCATTTACTAATGGCTGGTATCTACTCATTGCCCAGAAGAACTATGTTGGCAGCTCTCACAGACCCATGTGACAGGCATTAGCACTATCCCTGCACTGCAGGTGGGAAACTGAGGCACAGTAAGGTGACATATGTTGCCCAATGTTCCAGGGCTGAAATTCGAAGCCATACTCCCTGGCTCTAGACCATTGAACCATATTGCCTCTGAGGCAAAGTCTTAGAAGCGGCTGTGGATAAACTACTTCCTCCTAGGCCATGTAGTTCAGTTCTACCAATGATATGAGCATAAGTGATGGATGCCTCTGCCAGGGCTGGCCCTAGAGCATGCTGTGCAGCCCTCTAGGCTCTCCCTGTCTCTCCACTTGTCAGCCAGCTGGATGCAGAACACTTGACTGAGAGCCCAAGGAGTTCCGTGGCGTGGGGGAACCATGGGATAAAAGGAGCCTGGTTTCCTTCTCGCTCTCGGAGGATGGCTTCTAAGGACAGTCACCCAGTCAGGAACATCTGTACACGTTTAAGTAACTGAGAAATGAACTATCGTTGTATTAAATTCCTTTGCTTGTATTAAAAAGATTTTTTGACTAAGACCTAGTTGTTACAGCAGCACAACTTAGTCTATTATTAATGACAAAGGGGAAAAATAATAACTTTACAGTAGAGAAATCTGGCAGATACCACTTCAACCAAACAAGCAACGTTCATACCAGGAGCGATACAACACATCAACATCATATACCTCCTGATAAGACCCACTGAGAAAGACACAATATTTCTGTGGGATTCTTGCCAAAAATGCATAACCTCAGTCTTACTATGACAAAACTTGAGGCAAGCTCAAATTGAAGGACATTCTGAAAAATAACTGGCCAGTAAAGGAAAAACCCCAGAACTGTCACAGATTGTAGAAGCCTAAGGAAACATAGCAATTAAATGCAAAGAATTGGATCCTGGACCAGAAAAAGGACATTAGTAAAAGTTGGTGAAATGTGAAGACCTATTAGTTAATAATATTGTGTTAAGGCTAATTTCTTGGTTTCAGTAATTGTAGTGTGTTATGTTAGATGCAAACATGAGACGAAGGTGCATGAGGGGGTTCTAGAATTCTCTGTGCTATTTTTGCAATTTTTTGTTAAGTCTAAAATTATCTTGAAATAAAAAGATAAAATAAATACATAAACAAGAATAAAATGAGACAAAATCAGAGATGGAGACAAACCGTAAGAGGCTCTTAACTGTAGGAAACAAACTGAGGGTTGCTGGAGGGGAGGTGGATGGGGGGATTGGTTTGGTAACTGGGTGATGGGCATTAAGGAGGCACTTGATATATTGAGCACTGGGTGTTATATGCAACTGATGAATCACTAAACTCTACCCCTGTAACTAATAATACACCGCATGTTAACGTGGATGTGGTGATGAGCTACCTCCAGGTTGTCTGTCTGGCGGCTTTGCTCTTGATGCATTGTTAGCAAGTCTGGACAATAAAGACACACACTGGTTTACACCTTTAAAATTTTTTATTACAGAAAATGCCATTCTTCCAAGTCCAGGTCAAGGCCCACTTTATTTGTCAAACCTGGACTTCTGTACGTATTGTATTAAATAGCTTTCTTGCTCCCTGGGTATCTGATATGGAGTCAAAACTCTGCCTTTGATTGTAGGTTCTCTGAGAAGGGGGACTGGGGCTCTGTAGCTATGTTCCATTCTGTACAAGGCTATGCGATATCTGGTCAGCCTGAGCACCAACGGCATTATGTCTCTGCCTAGGAGGCTAGGCAGGGGAGTCGGCAGCCCCTCTGCACCCCTGTTTGGGTCTTGTGGACCATGTCACTGTGGGCCTGTGACCAGAGCCAGGACAATCACTGAAGGCGCAGATACAGTGCTAGGGTCAACTCAGGGCATTACAGGCATGGCACCCCTCAGTGTGTGGGTGGGGACAGTGGCAGGTCAGTCCCCAGAAGTGCAGGGCTGTAGGCAGAAAATGCCAACAGGGTGAAAGGGTCTGTTTCTCAGAAGCAAGTTGGGCAGGGATTTGGGAGGTCCTGGGAGCCCACACACTAAGGTGCACAGACTTCAAATGCAAGGAACTGGGAGGTGATGCTGGGTAGCAGCTCAAAGGAACCTGTGAGGACAGACTTGGCCAGCCCGTGAACAGAGCTGCAGTAATGGAGGAAAACGCGGCTGTCGCAGGGCTTTGCTGAGGGCTATGGCTGCTAGTTACTGAACGGTTAACAGGGGAGAGAGAGGTGAAACAGTGGAGGGCAGGATGGATCTCAGAAGAGCAGCCCCAGCAGGAGGAGGCTGACAAAGGCCGCAGGGGTGAAGGAGGCTTTGGAGCCCGTGTCCGGGGTGGTGAGCTCGTTGGAGGGGGGCGCTGAGGAGGCGCTGGAGCTGCTAGCAGGAGGGGTGGGCGGGGGGGCAGTCGAGGAGGAGTTAGCGCTGTCCACACACTCAAACTTCCGGAAGATGACTCCTCCAACTGTCCGGTTCTCAGCAGACAGGAACCGACAGGTGGAATTACTGATGTTGGAACAGCCTCTCAGCACGAGCTTCCTAGTCTCTGTCAACGCTGTGGAGACAATAAGGACTTCATAGCCCTCTCGCCCTTCCTCCCTCCACAGGCCTCCCAGCAACCTGTTCTAGGTCTGGTCCTAACAGGGGCCTGGAGGAAGGAGCCCAGGGTCAAGAACACCAAACGGTAATGGCAGAGGAACCATGAAGGTCAGAGCCCAGACGCCCTCCCCCACCTAAAACCAAAAGAAACTGAGGCTCCAGAAGGTGGATGCAGGTCTGACCTCACAGATGAAGGTCAGAAATGGGCCTGGGACTCAAGTCTCCAATGTTTTCCTGAGGAGCCGGCAGGTGATAAAACCTAGGGATGGGCTCAGACACCCTGGGGCCCTGTGCTCTCAATCCAGGAAGGACTCCTCCCAGGCTCCCCTCCTCCAGGTTCTGCTTTCCGCCCCCACTCTTCTCTGGACCTGAGTTCTCTCTGCCTGAGTTTTCTCTGAGAAGGGAAAAATAGCTGGAGGTGATCTTAATTCTAAGTCTGAATTATATTGTGTTTAACACTGTTTTAAGGTGCAGATCCTAGGAAAAGGCCAAGGGAATTTGCAAACAAAATGTGGTTGTGACTGCAGCTACCTGTTTTGAGCTCCTACTATGCGTCAGCAGTGTTCTGTTGGCTACAACTGAAACAGGCCTGGAGAACAGGAGGTTCATGGGGGAGAAAGGCACTGGAGGGGGGGACTGGCTACTTATCAGAAGGGCTACAAACTTGTTCTGAGAAGGAACGAGAAACCTCCAAATCCCTTTGAAGAAAACGATTAATTCCTTTTTTATAGCAAATAGCAGTGCTGGAGATTGAATTACAGTGAGCTAGAAAAACGTGCTGCATGGCACATATCTAGAGTAGTGAAAAAAAAAGTGACCTTGGGCAAAAATAAACAAAGAAACAAACCCTGCATGGGGCGCCTGGGTGGCTCAGTGTTAAGCGTCTGCCTTCAGCTCAGGTCATGATCCCAGGGTCCTGGGATCCAGCCCTGCATCGGGCTCCCTGCTTAGCGGGAAGTCTGTTTCTCCCTCTCCCTCTGCCACAACTTGTGCTCCAATAAATAAATAAAATCTTAACAAAACAAAACAAAACAACAAAATAGATACAATAGGGATGTCTGGGTGGCTCAGTCATTAAGTGTCTGCCTTCAGTTCAGGTCGTGATCCCAGGGTCCTGGGATCGAGCCCCGCATCGGGCTCCCTGCTCAGCGGGAAGCCTGCTTCTCCCTCTCCCTCTGCCTCTCTCCCTGCTCACGCTCGCTCTCTCTCTCTGTACCTCTGTGTCTCAAATGAATAAATAAAATCTTTTAAAAAAAAGTTTAAAAAAATCCTACCACTTGGTTTATTTGTTTTAAAAATATCTTTAACTCTTGGGGTCCCTGGGTGGCTCAATCGGTTAAGTAACTGCCTTCAGTCAGGTCATGATCCCGGGGTCCTGGGATGGAGCTCCACATCTGGCTCCCGGCTCAGCAGGGAGTCTGCTTCTCCCTCTGCACCCCCTCCCCACATATCCTCAGACATAGCTTAAGAATTAAACTTTAGAGCTGGGTAGACATCCTAGGGAGTTTAAAATTTTTTTTAAAATCTTGAAATGCATATTATTAAGTTCAGTAAATCTAGTGAAAAGGCTACGGACTATCTGATTCCAAATATATGATATTCTGATAAAAGCAAAATTATGGAGAGAATACAAAGATCAGAGGTTGCCAGGGGTTAGAGATTAATAGAGCACAGAGGATTTTTAGGACGTGAAGTTACTCTGTGTAATGGTAGATTATACTCACTCTACAAGTGTCAAAACCCATAGAATATGCAACATAAACAGTAACCCTATTGTAAACCTTGGACTCGGGATGATAATGATGCATCAATGTAGGTTCATGGATTCATGTAGGTACCATTTTAGTGGGGAATGTTGACGGGGGGGAGGTATGTATGTGTTGGGACAGGGGTATGTGGGAAATCTCTCTACCTTCCTCTCAATTCTGCTGTGAACTTATTAAAACTGTTCTAAAAATAAATTTCATTATTTTTTTTAAGTTGAAAAAGGTGCAAGATACTTGAAGTGTTTGGCCCCACTGAGAAACCTGCAATTACAGTTAAGCATGGATTTCTAGTACTACAATTGCCATTAATAAACGTTGAAATCAAATTGTACCTGGGTGTTGGTGCTCTTAAACTGTTATTATTCTGAGCCATATTGTGGCAGAGACTGGCTAGCTGTTCATTTTAGCTTCATGTGTCTTCCTTTCCTGCTGGACCTCTACTAAACCCCATTAGACTGCATTTCCACCCTCCAGTGAAGTTTTGGTCCTGGCCAACGGAATGTGAGAGAGAGTGATGCACGTGCTTCCAGGCTTTGCCTGTAAAAACCTTCCTGCCTTCCTCCACTCCCCATCTTCCCCCATCTGCTGGTGAGAGGCAAAGAATACAGCAGGGAGGGGCCAAGTCCTGGGTGGGTGGGGGCCAGAGCTTCCAGATGGAAAGAACACAGGCCCCAGGACCCTGCAAAAAACTGCCATATGAGCAAGAAATAAACATTTGTTACATTGAGGAAGAGGATTTAGAGGTTGCTCTTTAACAGTAATGAACTTACCCTAACTAATAAATACATTATTCTTTAAATATGCCTATTTAAAGAATAATATATGTATTAGTTTTATATTTTATACCAGTTAATTTGTATTTCATAATGGCTTATATCAAATTATTTCTGTAGAAAAGAACAACTGGTTGAATATTAAAGCCCAATCCGACTCTTTCAGTCAGGTGACCCAAGTTGTCATAAGCCAGCACCTCTCAGTGACAGGTAGAGAAAAAAATGTAGGGATAAAAGGAAATAAAAGTCAAACCCACACACACCCACAGAACAATGCAACCTAGTAAAGTAAATGCCGGGAATGACATGAGGCACTAAATGAGCCTGGCTTGATTATAAGCCACAGGAGAACAGGGTTCAAGAGATGGACAGCTCAGGAGGAATGGTTCTGGACTAAGGAGGCAGAAATAGCAACCAGCGCAAGGCTACATTAACAGCCTCATTATCTCAAAGGCATTCTGACTTTATTCTTTTATCCTACTAACCTCCCCCAGGCTTCTATTGCTAACCCAGAACTTATTGCCCAAGGTTTAATATGTTTTCAACTCAAGTCCCATAACGGAATTTAAACCCCAAGACGTACCAGTCTTAAATTCTGCAACTAGATTGACACACCGTTCTTCTTTATAACATTTCCTGTGTTGCACATTACAGGAACTTTCATTAGATCCATGACAGGCACGACACTCTGTGTTGCTGGACACATCTTTCAGGGGAGGAGCTGGTAGAATAAGAATCATTAATTTAGAACAGAGTTATAACATAGAACATGGTACTGCCTTGTACTGAAGGGGACAAGCAAGCAAAGCTGCTGGCCAGAGAGATCTTGAGAATGAGACAAATGCACGAAGACACCAGTGATCCTAACCTCATATCCCACCAATATAGTTACAGCACACAACCGCACAGACCTCCCCTTACAAACCATCCAGTCTTCAAGAACTGTGGTCAGTGGGTGTGTTGGGCTGAGAAGGGAGAGGTAAGCTTTTGATCTAAAACCAACCAATGTCCAGTGATGGATATTAAGAAGGGCACATACTGCAATGAGCACAGGGTGTTATACACAATGAATCATGGAACACTACATCAGAAACTATTGAAGTACTGTATGGTGACTAACATAACATAATAAAAAAAATGAATAAAAAATAAAACCAACCAATGTCAACATTAGCCTGCTATTCTGAATATCAGCCAATAGGTGTGTAGCTATTACTAAATCTTTCTCTGAATAAATGAACATACACCATTATTTAGCATTTAATACAAAATGATATTGAGACCCAGCTCTGCTATTAATGACCAGGACTCTAGAACTAAGGCAATTTAACTTTGTCCTTTTGGCCATGTTTTCTTCTCGTCAAAAAAAGAGAGCTTTGGTATAGACCAACGGTTCTCAAATTGTAGTCCAAGAACTCCTGGGTTATCTCCAAGAACATTTTCGGGCAGTCCACAAATTCAAAACTATTTTCATGATAATACTAAGATGTTCCTTGCCTCTTCCACTCTCTTTCTTTCATGAATGTTCAATGGAGTTTTTGAGAGGCTACATGGCATGAGAGATTGCAACAGACTAAATGCACAAGCAAATCTGAGAACTCAGTTGTTTTCTATTAAGCCAGAAACTAAAGAGCTTTGAGAAAATATGTAATAAATGCCACTCTTCTCACTAAGTATTTTTTTGTTTTGGAAGATAGAGTTATTTCTATATAAAAATGTTATTAATGTTAACATGTAATGGGTTTATTATTTCTTGGTGAACTAAAACTAAAGATTTTTAAAATTTTTTAGAAATTCTTTGAATTTTTAAGATTTCTAATACTGTAAATATTGATAGTATGATTCACATAAATCAAATTTCTATAGAGTCCTCAATAATTTTGAAGATTTGGAGTCTTAAAAGAGGGCCTGAGACCACAAAGTTTGAGAAATACTAATAAGCATCTAATTCCATACAACTTGGAGTTTCCATTATTTCTGTCTGTACTGAGAAAAGAGGAAAGCATGAAAGTAGTGCTGACTTTCCCATTTGTTTTTCAAGCGTTGTTGTAAGTCAGCTGTTGATGTTACCCAGATATGCAATGAAGTGCTTGGACTTGAGATGTCCACCAGAAAGTGAGGAGCACAGGTGGCAAAGGAAGGGAGAGAGTTGGGAGGACACAGGAAGGAAGGCACGTTGCCAGCACCCACCCAGAGCATCAGTGGTGTTACAGTCCTTTCCTTGGCAGCACTGGCTTATAAAATGGAAGTATTCGTTATCAGACACATGGACAGTGAAGGCTTCAACCATGTCTCTCCCTTCACTGCAGTTCTCCGCAGAGCAGGCTTTATCCTGGTATATGTTGGCTGCCCCTACACAAAGAGAAACACAGACTGTCAGCCCTGGGTAGGAGGCTTCAGAAAGGGCAGAGACCCTGAATAGTGACTGCTTCAGGCAACAGCAGAAAACACACCCTCAGGTCAATGTGATTTCAGAGACACTGGAGAGGGTTTCCTGGCACACAGAAAAATCCTTCCCCGTGAAGTAGTTCCTTCCTTTAGCTGGAGATGAGCAAAGATGCAGGCTAAACTTCAGATCAAAGACTGATGGAGACTGAGGGTTGCTGGAGTGGAGGGGGTAGGAGGGATGGGGAGGCTGGATGATGGGCACTGGGGAGGGTACGTGCTGTGGTGAGCTCTGTGAATTGTGTAAGACTGTTGAATCACAGACCTGTACCTGTGAAACAAATAATACATTATATGTCAATAAAAATAAATAAATAAATAAAGTGACAACTGAGTTAAAAAAAAAAAAAACTGATGGGGGCTTGGAAATGGTGGTTCAGGCTGACTTTCCAAACCCCCTGATCAGTCTTAGCATCTCTAAAAACAGCCAAGCAGACATGATGGTCCTACGTGCAATATGATGTTAAACCTGGATACAGTCAAGTTTCCAGACCAGAGCAATTGATAATGGTAGCCAGTAGCTACATGTGGCTATTTAAAATTCAGCTCTTCTGTCATATAACCATATTTCAAGTGGCCAGTAGCTCATGTATGGCTACTGTATAGGACAACATGGATATAAACATTTCCATTATTGAAGACAGTCCTACCAAGCAGCAGGGGTCCAATTTACAGGAAAATACCAGGAATAGGGGAACAAAGAAGTGACACCACAAGGAAGCAATCAACCAAAGCCAGAATATGGGACAACTATAAGACAAATGTTCCAGTTGCTCCAACAAATCAATGGTATTGAACAACAACAACAAAAAGTGATGGTAGTTATTATAAAACAAATTAGATGTAATAGACCTAACAGCAAAATGCTGTGTGGGGATTTTGTTTGTATCCGAATTCTAACACATCAACTATAACACAACATCTGAAACAATTGGGACATTTCTAAGATGGCCTTCTAATAGAGGAAATTAAAGAATTACAGTTAATGTTCTTAGGTATATAGTGATATGGTAGTTATGTAAAAAGGAAAAAAAAAGTCCTTATCAGAGATAAATAATGAAGTATTTTTAGGGGAAATTACATGATATCAAAGTTTGCTTTAAAATACCACTGTTGGGGCACTGGGTGGCTCAGTTGTTAAGCGTATGCCTTCGGCTCAGGTCATGGTCCCAGGGTCCTGGGATCGAGCCCCACGTCGGGCTCCCTGCTCAGCAGGAAGCCTGCTTCTCCCTCTCCCACTCCCCCTGCTTGTGCTCCCTCTTTCGCTGTGTCTCTCTCTGTCAAATAAATAAGTAAAATCTTAAAATAAAATAAAATAAAATAAAATAAAATAAAATAAAATAAAATACCACTGCAGGGGCGCCTGGGTGCCTCAGTTGGTTGAGCTTCTGACTGTCTGACTTCAGCTCAGGTAGTGATCTCCAGATCCTAGGATCACCCTGTGTGGGGCTCCTAGCTCAGCAGGGAGTCTGATTGTCCCTCTCCCTCTTCCTCCGCCCCTCCCTCCCACTTGTGCTCGCTCTCTCTCTCTCTCTTTCAAATAAATAAATAAAATAAGGGGTGCCTGGGTGGCTCAGTCATTAAGCGTCTGCCTTAGGCTCAGGTCATGATCCCAGGGTCCTGCAATTGAGCCCCGCATTGGGCTTCCTGCTCTGCGGGAAGCCTGCTTCTCCTTCTCCCATTCCCCCTGCTTATGTTCCCTCTCTCGCTGTGTCTCTCTCTGTCAAATAAATAAATAAAATCTAAAAATAAAAAATAAATAAAATACCATCGCAAAAAAAAAGCAAAATGTTGATAATTTTTGACACAGGATAGTGGTTACATGGCAATTCATTATACACTTCTTCCTGCTTTTGTGCATATTTGAAAATGTCCACAATAAAAAGTTAATAAGAAATCTAAGTGCTCCAGGAGAGAGGTAACAATCTTGCCAGCAAATCACCCTGGGTGAAAGCGTGTTGGATCTGGAAGAGGAAGGAGTACTGAGGGGAGGAAAGGGGGGCAGAAAGATGGAAGAACGCAAGTACCCAGAGCAAATTGCCTGCTTTGCAACTTAACCAAGAGCTGCCCCTGCTTCTCACATCCACCAATATAGGTCTAGAATGAGGTTTCAGTCAAGGGCAGCAATTCCACAAGGGCTTGTCTGCTTGCCCCTGCATTCTCATCTGACTCCTGTGTGTTGCTTCTTCTGGAAGGCGTCTTCATGACCCCATCTCTCTCCTTGCACAACCTAGCCCACCCTCAGCCTTCCTTTCCTCCCTGGCCACTCTCTCCAGCCCCTGCCCCATGCAAATCCCAGAAATGGGGGTTATGGCTTCCCAGGCTCACCTAAAGAAGAGTTGGTCACGAAACTGTTACAGCTGGCACTGGCATATAAGGGACACTCAGTGATGGTGCTGTTGTCACAGGAGTTTGTCAATGAATTACACTGCACACAACGTAGGGATTCTGGGGAGACACGATGGACAGAACTGTCAACATTCAGGAGACACTTATAGACTGTACTCTGGACAAAGCACCACATCCATCTCAGGGCAAAAGAATAGTCTGGATGGCATCCTTTCCCTCTGGGACCCCCCAAATCTGAGACTGTGAGATGGAGCCACCCCCATTACTTTCCCCCACCGTGCACCATTTCCCAGTGGAAGACCCATAGCACAGAGCGGCTCCTCTGAGGGCAGTATGCACAGAGGGGTCTCATATTCTCCACTGACCACACCCTGACATGAGAGGCCATGGGACAGGACCCCAGAACACCAAGAGTGAGAAGACTTCGATGAGGTATAAAAAGAGGTCTTCATTCCCAAAGGGTGTCAGTGGGTTCCCTCACCTACAGCTGCAACCACAAATGCTGTAATGATGGCAGCAACAAGGATACCCTTCATGGTGCAGGACCTGGTGTCTCCCGAGGATGAGGACTGTGGTGCAGAACCTTATGCCTGAAGAGACACAGAGAAGACAGTCAGGGAGCTTGCAAGGCTGCCAGGGCACACCATCCCCTGGGCTTGCAGTCATACTTCCACACAGCACACAACCCATCCTTGTGGCAGAAGGAATCAGCATTCTCAGCTGGGAGCAGAGAGCTGTGATGCAGTTTCTATGCTGCCCTTATACATGTGCTGGTCTAGGCTTTCCCCAGTCCTGGATACCTGCAGAAGAATCTACACACAGACACAGAACACAGCTTGGGCATTTCCTATAGCCATTTCAGATACAACATGGGCAGGCAGAAGATTGCTAGCCCCACTGGGAATGGGGTCCAAGAAGAAAGCTGGGCTCTTCTCTCCCAGAGCATAATGTAGTCCTCTGGCTAATATCTTGCCACATTCACATAAGTCACTTAGGGGCTCTGTCACTGCCATCACCACCCCAATAGGCAGACACCTATTGAGCACTTACTCTATTCTGAGCACTTTATGTTCATTAATTCATGTAATGCCTTCACCCTAGCAGTCAGGGACTATTATTAGCATCACCCTCATTTCATAGGGGAAATCAAGTCCCAGAGAGATCAAATAAACCACTCCAAGTCAAGGTCACAATCCTGGGAGGTGTTAGAGTTGGGGTTGGCCCAGGCCCCTAACCACCACCCACACTGCCTCCAACAGATGTGACTCCCAGGGCCCCAGGCCTGGACACCCTCGAGCTGCAGGAAGGAACCAGAGGCCCCGGCACACCTCCGACTGATGTCCGCCAATCATTGATTAGCTAAAGGTTACCTGGATTCATTAGGATCCTGAATCAGAGCTCCCAGAATTTCAACTTGCCCGTGTATCAAAGCAGCAAAGAGGGGCAGTATCTGGCTCTGTGTTGAGTCCTTCTCCTAACTGTGTTGAGTCCTAACTCCTAAATGAGTTAGCTCATTTATCCTATAAATGGCAGCCACAAACTTCATGTGGCTACTTAAATTTAGATTCATTGAAGGAATGAAAGAAAAAAACAAAACAAAACATTTTGTTTCTCAGTCACCTGGCTAGGGACTACTTATTGGCCAGCACAACTTTGGAACATTCCCTTCACTACAGAAAGTCCCAGTGCACAGTGTGGCTTATTGCCCCACTTGGCAGGTGAGAAACCTGCCAATGGAGAGATAAGGAAAGCTGTCCAAATTCACCCAGCCTGTTAGGTTGGGTGACTGGGACTTCATTCAGCATCCTTCCAGCTCCAAGACTGAGTTGCACCCTGACAGCTACTACTTACCAAGGGAGAACTGGCCTTCACCTAGAACTTGCAGCCAGCCTCCCTCCCACCTCTCACCTCAGCACACCACACACACACCACACACACATACACACCACATATACCTCTTAGTTGACTTATTAAGGGTTGGTGAAAAGGAAGAGTTTGAAACTAGTTCAATCAGGGGAGGCAGAGGGGCCCATCTGTTATCTAAGGACCACATCATATAGAAACCCAAGGAGAAAAATTAAGTACATCTGGTTTGGAACTTGTGGCAGATATTCCATGCCTTGTATCCTGCATGCCCCAATGCCTGATCACCCTCTACGCCTGAAACCCCAGTAGGGAGAGAGGTTCAGAGGCCAAAGCTCCTGGGAAGGGCCTCTCAAGCCTTGTGAGTGTGGAGAAGGGAGAGGGAAGGAAAGAGATGAAGGTAATGAGGCCACAGCTACATGTCAGAAACATAAATCACTTCTCCTTATGGTGTAAACCTGATAATTAGCCTCATTTTCAGAGGGAAATAAAGGAGGCTTTAGATCACAGAGATCAGGATCCGGCACAGAGAGTCAGAGCCTAGAAGTGGCAAGACCGTGGGCCCTGCTCTCCACCTCTGAGAAGAGAAACCAGTGAGGTGGCAGTTGGGGCAGGAAGCCTCATACGGAAAATGAGAACAAGTAGCATCTGAAAAACCACTTTGCAAAATCCTTACCACTCATCTATCATTGGATATTTTCTGAGAGAATCCTACCACAACTGATTTCATTTTTATACACAGGCAAGTTCAGAAAAGGACCCAGCACAACGCAGAGAACAAACCCCAGCCCACACACCTCTCCTCTCCAGCCTTCCTTCTCCTGAGCACTGCTAAAGGAACAAGAGCAATGAGAATACCTGGACCCCAGCCATCCCTCAATGCCCTTCTCTTGGTTTCAGCTTCTCCCAAGCTGCCCCCCGCCTCCACACACACACACATACACACAACTTGGCTTCAGCCCCTTACCTTCAGAGTCTGGCCTGGAGACCGCCCTGCAGAAAGTGGATCCTAGCACAGAATTACAGTAGGTGTGTGAAGGGCCTTA